TATCAGGGAGCATGTGCTGGGAGGAGTCTCCATTATCTCTGGACAGAGAGCTCACAGGGCTCGCTGTGGCGAGCAGACTCAGGACTGAGACCCTGCACCGGGGTGCCTAAAGCCCGAGCCACTGGGTCCCCAGCCTTAGCCAGAGACCTGGTGGCTCTGGTTCCACACGCCGCCCTGCGGCTGCCCCTGCACCAGCGTCTCCTGGCCTCGTCGTCTCTCTGGGCCTGTTCAAAGCCTATCTCTGGGCACCTGTGAAGAAACCAGATTGACCCAGAACCTGGCAGCCCACAGAAACCGGCAAGTGGCAGGGCCCTGGGGGTGCCACGGAGATCCCCCCATTCTAAATCAGCTCCTAACTGCGCGTCTGGTCTCTCTCGGTTGTTCCAGTGAGAAGCGCCACCTCCAGGTGAACGTCACCAACCCGGTGCAGTGCAGCCTGCATGGGAAGAAGTGCACCGTGTCCGTGGAGACGCCTCGCTGTGGCGAGCAGACTCAGGACTGAGACCCTGCACCGGGGTGCCTAAAGCCCGAGCCACTGGGTCCCCAGCCTTAGCCAGAGACCTGGTGGCTCTGGTTCCACACGCCGCCCTGCGGCTGCCCCTGCACCAGCGTCTCCTGGCCTCGTCGTCTCTCTGGGCCTGTTCAAAGCCTATCTCTGGGCACCTGTGAAGAAACCAGATTGACCCAGAACCTGGCAGCCCACAGAAACCGGCAAGTGGCAGGGCCCTGGGGGTGCCACGGAGATCCCCCCATTCTAAATCAGCTCCTAACTGCGCGTCTGGTCTCTCTCGGTTGTTCCAGTGAGAAGCGCCACCTCCAGGTGAACGTCACCAACCCGGTGCAGTGCAGCCTGCATGGGAAGAAGTGCACCGTGTCCGTGGAGACGCGGCTCCCCCAGCCACAGCCTGACTTCACCAAGAACCGCTCGGGCTTCATCCTGAGCGTGCCCGGGAACTGACGGCCCCGGGCTGCAGGCCTGGCCCAGAGCACCACGGAGCGCTTGGCCTTCGCCACGTCTTCAATTCCAGCCTAATTGCTGCACCCCTGCTAATGCCCGCTAGAATCCGCCCGAAAGGGCCCACCCCTGGGGGCCGCCTCCCCTGCCTTCTCCGCGGCCACCCCCAGGAGGTTTCCTTCCGGCCTCTGCCTTTGGTCTCCATCTTCCTTTGTCCCGGATTCCGACAGTCCCCACTCAATAAACCCAAGACCTGGTGCCTCGCCCCAAACCCCTGGGCTGACATCAGACCACCTCTCACCTCACAGGCAACGGGAGGTGACTGCAGTCAGGGAAGGTGTCCCTGGAATGGTCAGGCCAAGTCAGCAAGCCCTGAGCCAGGGGTCAGCGCCTAACCCTGGCCAAGGTGTGGGGTCGGGGGTGCCCAGGACGCCGTTTCCCCAAACACGTGCTCACCTCTGGAGGTTGAGAGGTTCCCGTGAGCTGGGATGTAGCCCTACTTTATCCAAGAGACTTGTCTGTCACCTCCTTCCCCAAGCGGGGTGCCCAGAGCTCCTTCAAAGACTCTCCACCCCACCCCAGCCAGCCAAAGCCACCAGGTGTGAGCTTTGGAGGGTCACCTGTGGAGCCTGCCCTGGGGACACCCAGGCCCCAGCCTGGGCCTTCCAAGTCCCTCTCAGGACAGTAGTGTCATCAGGCCCCGGGACCACGCTGCCCGACCCGCGGCGTGGCGGCGGCCATCTTAGGTCTATCTGCAGCCTGCAGGGTTGCTAACCAGACGAGGGCTCTGCTGTAACCGCAGGTCGGAATCACAGGAGGAGAACCGGGCTGCAGGGGCGGGGGCGCACTAGTCTGGCAGCTTTCCTGTCCTAGCACCTCCACCCGGGTTTCCCACCCACCGGGAGAGCTAGGGATGATGGGAAGTGGAGCCGGGGGCAAACAGCGTGGGGTCCTGGCACTGCAGGACAGGCCAAGGATGCCCACCCCACACAGCCTGCACCTCTGCTAGGGCCTAAGACCCAGGGCCCAGGGACCTAGTGCCAGGACAGCGCCACAGTCTTGCCAGTTCCTGCCCAGCGAAAGCATATGCACTTCAGAGGCCTTCGTGCGACCACCCCGCTGGCCCACCATTGCTACTGAGGATGCTGCTGCATCCCTGGGCTCTAGGCCTGGGGCCTTAAAAGAAGGGAGGAGCTGGCGGGGTGCAAATGGGGCATATAGGAGCCAGCAGGCGGCATGGTGGTTAAGACTCTGGACTCACACATGACTGACAGTGGTTCAAGTCCTGGACCTGGCAGCTGGAACGTCACACCAGGCACATGGGCATGCATGCCCCAACTCCTGAGAGAATGGAGAAGGGTTTGCAACGAGGCCATGCTCCCAAGGGTGATTTCTCACTCCCCCTTCCCCATGAGCACACATACACTATGGCAAAAACCTAAAAAAAAAAAAGTCTCTTCCTATTTCTGCCACAGATGGTGCCCCTCGCCCCATGCTCCTGCCCTACCACAGTCATCCAGCAAAACCCAAGTGCCTCATGCAGCCTCCTGTGCCTCACCCAGGGCCTGCTGTGGTCACCTGGCAGAGTCCAAGGTGGTCCCGGCACCCCGGTCTCATGCCTAACCCCGCTCCCAGGGTTTGGAGACATGCGCACTGTGTGCAGTTTGCAACGACGCGCCCTCCTGGCACCCTGTCCTTGGGAACCCTTCTCATCCTCCCAGCCTGGCCAGCTGCCCGCACGCTGCAGAGGTGCCACCAGCCCCGTTCAGCAACGCTGAGTTTTGCCAATTGCCAGTAGACACTAGTTGAACATCTAACTGGAACATCACCTCTCCTTGCCACTCACACCCCCAAACTCGTGCTTTACACTAGACACGTGCAAACGTGAGCTTTAAACAGACAGATGATGCCAAACGCGAGCCCGAGGGAGGCTGAGGAGGGGGCTTGGGTTCGGGGTTCCTCCTCTTACCATTTCATGTTGCCTTGGGCCCCTCGGCGCCAGGGTCTCGGAGTGGAGGCCCCAGGACTGCCAGCTGTCGGCAGCCCTTTCTGGTGTCCTAAAAGAAGCCCCAGTGCGCAGCAGCTGAAGCAGGCCCAGGAATGCAGGGTGTGGGCATGGGCCCAGGGTGCTGAGGGGGAAGGAAGTGGACACGGCGATTATATGCAGTTCCGTTTAGTGCAGCCTCATGGTTTGGTGCATATATTCCTATTCTCCATTAAATTAACTTTATTTCTAAAGCATATTTTGATTTACTATCAAGAACAATAAAGCATTAAATCTTATTGTTAAAGGTGTTCTGCTTCTCTGTCACTGAAACTATAATTGTGAAGTTTTTAGCTTATTTAAAATAGCATTATCCCAGGAGAAGGGAGAATTAAGCACAAATGATGTAAAATGGAGGATGATTCGCCCAAGGCTCTTGAGTAATAAAATTAAATGGAAGATGGGGCCGGTAGGTGGTGTGGTGATCGAAGGCGCCGGACTCCGATATGGCCGACCATGGTTTGAGTCCCAGACCTGGTGGCTTGCTTTCTCACTTTTCCTTCCCTCTCACCCTGTTCCCCTCTGGTCAGTTAAACTTATCTTTATTCATAATTTATTTTAATTTGACCAAAGATGGACAGAGCAAGTGAGAGAGAGAAAGCAAACCGCCAGGTCTGGGACTCGAACTGCAACCATGTGGGTGGGAGTCTAGGGCCCTTAACTACCACACCACCGGCTGGCCATAATTAAATAAATCTTTTTAAAAAAATTAAATGAAGAAAGCTGTGGGAAAGAGGGGGTGGGGAGAGAAAGCAGAAGAGTTAAAGCCACATACTTCTTTCCACCATTTTGTGGCCTGTGCTAGAAGACTCTAGAAGCATCCAAAGCTCACAGCTTGGTGTCAGGAACATGTGTATTGAGAGAGAAGCTTGTATGTGTACAGGAGAGGCTCGGGTCCCCAGGGCAGAGGTCTGAGTGAAGAAGGGACCAGTCAGCCTCTCCCCAAGGTGGCTGCTTGGGAAGCTGTGGGGTGACAGGACACAGAACGAGCGTGAGGGAGCAGGTAACTGTAGGCAGGGCGATGAGCCCTGTCGGGCAACAGGACATCCCTTGTACCCGAGGGCCCAAAGCCACACAGTGCTGCCTGGTCACCGGTCACTGCCGAGAAAGAACACGTGGCGGGCAGCTTCTGGGACAGACCGAGCCACATGCCTGGAGACACGCCTGCTCGCAGGTGAGGGCTTCAGAGCCACAACCTGAGCACAAGAAAGGCCTTCCCAGTGCCCAGGGGCAGCTCCGGACCAGAGGGTGCAGGGGTGGGTAAGCCGAGTCCCCGCTTTCCTCCCCTGAGACTGAGGCTGGTGGCACAAGGGGGCTTCTGGGGCAGTGAGGACTGGGCACAGAGCACTGGCGATACAGCGGATGTGACTTGTCACAATCACAGGTTGGGGGGCCGCTACCTGGGAGCGCCAGGCTGGATTTCTCTCAGAAAGCTTCGTGGAGCCTCCTGGCAGGGCTGGCCCACGTGAACGCCGTCCGCCCCAGCTGGCTCGGGAACCTCCGGCAGGTGGGTGAGAAGCGAAGCCGGGCCTCAAAACATAGGACCTGGGCCTGGTGCTCCGACAGGCCCACTCAGCCAGCCCTCTCCAGGTCACATCTGACCCTGACCCTCCTTGGCCGGAGGCTCCAGCCACCCAGCACCGCCAAGCCAAGGGAGCCTCTGGGGACACCTGCCCCCACCCAGCCGTTACACCAGAGCGGACTTAACCTGCGCTGCTTCCCTAATCACCTTAGCGTGCTCAGCCCTCCCCCGCCTTGTCCCCGCCTTGTCCCCACCCCGTCCCCATCACACAAATCCAGTTACGTTCTGAGCACATGCATCATTTATTCAGGGGCCCCAGCCTGCTCACGAATGAAGGGTCCACAAAGAGAGGGCTTTGTAATGGATGGTCAGTGCATTTTATTGAATCAGCACAGTACAAAAATAAATAAAAATAAGGGAAGGGGAGTTAAATTACAGCCAAACTGAGCTTCATGACTTCGTCAGATTATAAACCACACACACTCACAAACACACTACACATACATACGAAATGAGACAAATATAAATTAATGTCAACAATACCCACAGTTTGGTCAAAGAATAGCTACAGAAGAAATTGCACTAAAAAAACCAACATACATCACACGTGTAATTAGCAGTTTCGAATATACAGCTATGAATATTCCGAGTGAAAAAAAAATGGCACATTTTCTTTTCATTGCAAGTGTAACAACTGTTGGAACAAAACTAAATTCTAATAGCTGCATGGAAAGAATATTTATCAACCCCTCAGGTTTATAAGAAAAAGAGAAAAACCAAATCCTGAACTAGTACTCCTGTGGCTTGTTCTGTGCACGGGTGTAATTTTCACAGCCATCTGTTCTAAGATTATTTTTCTTAAGACACAAAATGCTCCTGGTCTGCATGCACGATATCACTGTAAAAGCAACAATTAAAGAATAAAGGGTTTTTTTGTAGGTTAGTTTTTTTTTTCTTTTTTTATTGTTGTTTCTAAAAGTAGTCTTCATAGCAGCATGTCGCGTGGGGTCATTGCTTGCACACTCAAGTATACCAGTCGTTCCTTTACACAATACTGCAAGGGCAGAGAGGAGAACACGGAGGGCGTCACGCTGACGGATCTACAGTCGTTTCCTTAGTCTCCACCTGCTCCCGAAATGTGCACCTCCTCCAAACAATACAAAAATAAATACGGAGAAAGAGAAGGAAACAGACACAAAACTGGAATCCTGTGGATGCAACGTAACCGCAGTCCCAGGCCAGGTCCAGCCAGCCGAACGTGTGACTGCAAACACGTGCCCTCCTCCTGAGACTGGGCACCCAAGCCATCCTCTTCCAAGCCACCAGGGGCCAGCTGCCCCGAAGGGCCTCTCCCGCTCAGGTCGCACGTGGCAGCCGGAGCTGAAGACAGGCTGTGTAGGAACTCTGGCAGGAGGAGATGCGGCTTCCTTCAGGCCTGCATCTGATCGCCTGGCTGTCGGGAATGGCTCGGTGGCCCAGAGGTGCAGCCCAGGGGGTGCCCTCCAGCCAGGCAGGCCCCCACCCCCATCTCCAGGAACACGGCAGGCCAGGCCGCTTAAATCAGGACCTCGGTTTCACAGCTTTCTCTATTGTATGTGAATTTCAGTAGTGCTTGTGCTGAAATCGGCAAACCCCTAGAACCTAATCCTATGTAAAGTGACCCTCTCCCCCCTGCCCCCCATTCCAGCACTCCCTGGGGGACGGGACTGGGAGTGAGAATCCTCTGTAGTGTCTTCACATTGGTGGTCTTTGTTCCCCGCAGCCTGAGTGATGGGCCGCAGAGGAAGACTTGCTCCCATCTCTTGGTCCTCTCCCAAGTCCCAAGCCACCAATCTGGGAGAATGAAACTCGAATGTGTTTGCAGTCACTAGGGTAAAACGTGGAAACCGAAACCAGCAGCTGCAAGTCAGCAGTCGTAGAATCAGCAGGCTTTCAAAGCAGCCAGGAGTCACACTCCTGTCTTGTAATTGTCTCTAAGATCCAGCTGTCTTGCTGGGCCTTGTCGGGCAAGGCTTCCTCCCCAGAAGCTACCACACTGCTCAGAAACAGCTTTCATTTAACAGGGGGGTGGGTGGGAATACGCCTGTCCCACATCACCCCAATCCCTGACAGCACCTCGGTCCCAGCCCCGCAGGACAAATGCATGTGCACCAGCAAGAGGCCTTGGCCCTTAAGCGGGCACCAGCTTGGTCTCAGACATGGCCTCTCTACCAGCCTAGAAGGCAGGCTGTTGCTGCCGGGCATCTACGGCTGTCCTGGCATCTGCCACAGGGTGACTAAGCTGTGTTATTCAAATGAAAAATTCACGCAGGAAAGGAGTTGTCCCCAACTTCACCCCACCCCTTCAGCTGGGACCCAAAAATAAGAGAACGTAATGAGTCAAACCAGCTCATTAGCCAACACTACCAGCACTGCTGGGAGCAGGGGATGAGGGCGTGGGGGCGAGTCCTAGTTCTCCACTAAAGGAAAGCCCTTCTCCCAAAACGTGAAAAAAGCAACCAGGGCTGTCCACGGTCGAACAACTGGTCGCAATCCTTGCACTAGACCGCCTTGGCCACGCCTCGATGGAAGCTGTCCCGGTGTGGTGGGGCTCTAGTCTCACAACCTACTCAGGGCTCGCTCGGGGCGGCTGGCCTCAAGGGCCTCAGGGAGAGTGAACTACCCAAAGCAGGGCCAGAGCAGGGCCTCCTACCAGAAACCCCAACTCCCCTGCAGGTCCAGCTCCCGTCCAGGGAGCAGCGGGTGGCCTCGACCATTCTGGATCCAGCGAGGGCACAGGCAGGTCAGTCCTCCGAGCTGCCCAACGTGAGAAGTCAGTAGCCTGGGTGGCTCTGAATACATCTGGGCTCGCGCAAGGTTCATGAGTTCAAGTGTCCACAGTCCTTGGTAGGGCTAAAAAAATCCCCAAGGAGGGAACGGTGGGAAGGGAGAGGCCCTTGGTGGCTTTGCTAGACACATACTGTACACAAAACTGATTTAATAATAAATTTTAAAAATGAATCCTTGAGCCATGACAGGGCTACAGGGCTCACCGGTCGAGCCCTAGGAGGAGCCGCTTCTTGTCCTCCTGGCCGCTCTCGTTCTTCAGGTCAGAGAACACCTGTGTGAAGTAGTGCGGGTCGGCGTTGATCTGCAGCATCTTGGAACTCATGAGGTTGATGACTGAGAGGCAACGGTCCCAAAAGGCCTCCTTGCAGCTCTCCACCAGGAAGGGCTTGAGCGGGTAGGAGATCTCGTTGCCCATGTAGGAGTAGGAGAGGTACAGGCAGGTCAGCAGGACGGCCTGGAGCTCGTGGTCCGAGCCCACCTCGGAGGAGATAACATCCCTGCAGAGCATGTAGAGGAAGACCACGTTGGCAGGCGTGATGAAGCCCTGGTCCTGCCAGCCCTGCAGAAGCAGCGAGCGGTCCACGCTGCGCAGCCAGAGCACGGGGTCCGTCGGGGACAGGTGCTTCAGGCGGTAGCACCGGCGGCAGAGAAACTCGCCCAGGCAGCGCAGCAGCTCGCTAGTGGACGCCTGGACGATGACCCGTTTGGGCGTCCCCGCGGAGGTGACAGCAGGGTGCGGGGCCTTCTTGCCGGAAGAGGAGACCCCGGTCTGGGAGCCGGAGAGCTGGCTGGCCGGGGGTGCGGGCGGCTGCGCCGGTGGGGGCTGGGCGAATGTGGACAGGTTGGCGCAAGACAGCGACTTCTTCAGGTTCTCATTGTTGAGGTGCGTGATGTTGTTCTGGTAGCTGCTGTTGGGTTGCACCTTCTTGGAGTTCTTCTTCTTGGCCGACACGGCCACGATCCTCTTCCAAAG